CCAACATCTGCTGCTCGATCCATGACTCCTCCGACGTCTTGATGGCCGATTTCATCAGAGACTGCTCTGCGTACTGAGGGGGCTGAATTTCAGTTAATAGATATGACAGTACACAAATACGACACAATTACTCAACACACACACACACACACACAGCAAGGGTTGGATTTCAAGTGTTAAGAGCAGAGTCTGCTTTGAGTTTTGGAACTACAGCTCCCATAATGCAGCTGAACTGACTGCGATCAGCTCCTGTTTGCAGTGAACTCAGTGATGTGCAGACAACTATCACTGGATCACTGTGATACTGAAGGAAGCTTAAAAACATCAAGATTCTCGATGAGGTTCTGCAGACTCTGGCCTCGCAGCTTGAAAACCCCTGGTAGACTGTTGTGAATGTTTCATTACCCCTGGTTTGAAGGCGGGCAGTCCCAGTCCGACCCCGATCGTGGCCTTGTTGGGATTCACCACAGAGTTGTAGTGAATATTGCGGTGGTAGCTCACTCTGATGGGCTCGTCGTTGTTCTGGTGGATGCCGTGGAACGTGTTGATTGGCTCTGTGGCAGAGAGGAGGAGGGTCAGTTGTGATTGGCTGAGGGCGACAGACCCACAGGTTTTTAATCGGACAGTCGGACTCACCTGTGCTGTACTGATACACCTCCACCGGTCTGTTATACATCTCGGCCATGGCCTGCATCTCGATGTGGTTGCCGTGGCAATTGTTTTTCCTCTTCCTGTTAATGTATGTGGTGAAATCCTCTGTCACGTAGCTGGAGAAATAATCTGCGTTCTTCATCTAAAGGAGAAAATAAACTTTTAACACAAACAGTGAACGAACAAACTGTCTCAGACTGTGAATGAGCACGGGAGCTGGAGACTCGTCAGAGGTCAGCGGGACTCACCAGGTAATCCATACAGTGTTTCCTGACCACTTCATGCATGTCCTGGTCTCCATACACCTGATCAGCTGAGAGAGACAGAGCTCAGGTTAGATGTTTGATGGACCAATCAGGGCCCAGACTGATCATCTCTGGTTTACAACTTCACATCATGTTGAGTTCTGATTGGTCAGTTACGCGATCTATAACGTGGAACTGCAGGTTTTCTGTGCGATTTAATTTAAGATAAACAACATGACAGTTCCTGATTAATGAAGCTATATCCTCTGGATTGCTGGAGGCTAACGGTTACCCTACGTTACCAGTGTTTATGCTAAGCTAAGCAGCTCTTACATTTACAATACAACTGATGCAGTTCAAACAATTACGTATAAGTTGTTGTAACGTGCAACATGCAAAACTGTTCCTTCGACTCACTGCAACAGTTCAAAAACACACACACAGACACACACAGACACACACACACACACGCGCGCACGCACACACACACACACAGGGGTTTGCAAATAAGCATCACCTCGGTTCCATTTCCAGCAAGTCACGTGGTCTGCCACCACGGTGTTTCTCAGAACCACCCCCCCAACAACTTCCTTTTTCTCATCAGTCTCTTTTTCTCATCACACTTAGTCTGTGTGTGTGTGTGTGTGCGTGTGGGTGCGTGCGTGTGCATATGTGTGTGTGTGTGTGTGTGTAGGTGTGTTAGTGTGCATGCGTGTGTGTGTGAAAAGTCAGTTGCGATGTTGTTGATGAAGCTGGTGGACTATGGAGTTTTATTTCTATCTTAAATCAAGAGCGTGGTTTTTCAGTCCAAGTGCATGACTCGTACTTGACTTGTTGCTGTTGCATGTGGGCTGGTGACCCGCTAAACTTTTCACGAGCGCACAGAAAGCAGCCAGAGTGCAGAGAAGGGCTGAAGCTGGAGCGCAGGAAATCCGTGCGAGAAACAATATATCTGAGTGCAAGCGCCCAGTGTGAGCAGAGGCAGAGCAAATTTAAGTGCAAACAGGAACCGGATTATAGTGGAAGGGAGGTTTAGATGCAAAGTACATTCTGAACATGAATTCAACAAGTCATGCACTTCAACTGAAAAACCACGCTCTTGATTTTAGACAGTAAAAAAACTCCATAGTGGACCACACACACACACACACTGAATACGTAATGTGATTCACACCCCTGCTGTGTGTGTGTGTGTGTGTGTGTGTGTGTGTGTGTGTGTGAATCATTTTCTGATGATGACACACAACCATATGAAACCTGGCTGCTGCTGAGAAACACAGCAGAGATAGATATCTCCAGAACTAACACATACACACGAAACCACAGTGGGCGCTCCGATCGGTCGGCCTGGACGGTATTCTAAGAAAGGTGGGGGCGGGGCCTAATCTGAGGCAACTGTCCATCTGGTTGTTTTACCGCTGATGTCGATAAAGTTTTTTATATTAACCGCACAATCATTAGGTGAGTCAGACGTGATGTGGCGCTGTGGTGCGCTGACTTAACGCGATGCATGCTGGTTAGAATTTTTGTCTGACTTCATCCAGCGCTGCGAAACGTCAACAGGGATTTCCTAAACATGCGTTTCATCTGCAACAAAAAAACCAAACGTTTCTGGATCGGCCGTTGTTCTCGTGTCACTGATGCTACGAGAAGTAAAAAATGTCTGACATGACGTCAGTGTTTTTCTATCTAAACCCTTCAGCCGCAGTCCGATCAAATCCCTGTTCCTCATTCGTGGTATTTCTGTTTCTAAACAGACAATCTACTTCCTGTCTACACCACATGACCAGTGTACGTGGATAGTCGTGTGACGTGTGTTTTTGGTGATTTGAGTTTTGGGAGTTCTGAGAGAGTAAAAAAAGTTTAATGATTCAACAGATGAGTCGAGGTGTGACTCCTCATCACATGACTCGAGTCGGTGATGATGTGCGGTCACAGACTGTCACCTGATTGGCTGATGATCTCTGTGGCGATAACAAGTTCAATTGACTCAGAGTTGACAGGTCAGTGACCTCGTCTCTGTTTAAAGGTATTCAGATGACCTGAAGTTACCACGGTAACCACAGGTCCTGCTCTGACAGGACGTCTGGACCTTTGACCTTTGCTGAGGATTGAAATGGTTCCCGTGTCGACACACGCTGGATAACAGCTCCACGAACTGTTGGACGTAAAGACGATGAAACCCGTTCGACTGGTTGCCAACAAAACATCTGTCACTTTGTCTCTCAGGTGGAAGACGAATGAAGAGATGGAAAATGGCAGCCGCTCAAGTTTCCTTTTTTAAAGATGTTCTGATGTCACAGGTGACGTTAACATGTGAGTTTACAGGTGTAACATACTGTTAGTATGTTTACTGTTAGTATGTTACATACGTGTTAGTGACAAGTAGAGAAGAAAATACTTGTTCTGGTCAAACCAACGTGACAACAGAGTTCATGTTTTTTTGGCATGTCCTGTTTTTGTGTTCTGCATAAGTTACACAAATAGACTGGACATCAAGAGTGGGTGGATCTGTCACACACACACACACAGACACACAAAGCTTTCAGGTTGTTGTTGAGATGTCTCACTCATACCATAACTCAAGAGCTGATGATCGACAGGTCAACCAGGTTTCACAACAGGAATGTTACCTGACAACAACACACACACAGACACACACACA